CCAAGACAACGGAACTTTTAAAAATTTGTTATAAACAAATTGATTTTTTCTGTATGTGGGACTTGATTTGTTTAGGGTTCTGTTAACAGTTATATATACGTGATATTTACAATATTATTTTTAGACCATAGTGAAAAATTTCAAATGTTTTGTAATACCTTTTTTAAAAGTGGTTATACTCATATTTCTTTTCATATGGAGACTAGATTTGTGTCAATTCTGATAAATGTTATATACGTGATATTTAATAAGGTTTTAAAAAGTTTAAATGTGTAGTAATATCTATAAGAAAGACTACTGAACTTTTAAAAGATTATACATGCAAATCGTTAGTTATGAGGTGATATATTGATATTGGTTAGTAATTGTTAGGTTTTAAAAAGTTTCACATGTGTTATATAAGACAAGTGAACTTTTCAAAAGTTTCGTTTTATATTGAGACTAGATTTGTTTACAATCTTGATAACAGTTATTTGAGATGATTTTGATCTTATTCATTTACGAATACACTGGATGATTTAAACACGTGTTACTTAACCTACAAGGAACTTTTTATAGAGACTAGATTTGTTTAGGGTCCTGATAAGAGGGGCGATATTGATAATATTTATATCATTCAGGATTTTGATAAAGTATGTCAATTTTATTAGACACAACTGACTTGTTGTTGTTTGACGTCTGCTTCCACAGTAGTGAATATCACGTACAATAGTTGTAGTAAATATAAAGAAGACTTTTGTGATCAACTCTTCCGTTCTTTTTGTACCGTAATTTTGATATTGATCGTTATTAGGATGTATTGGTGATAAATCTGAGTTTAGAAAAGTTTTACGACTAGTGTAAAAGTGTGTAGTAGCTATAATAAGGAAGTTATTAACTGTACTGCATGTGTAAGTTCACACTTGAGGCCATAGAGTAAAATTTGAATTTCAAAGAGAAGTGTTACGCAGCAAAGTGTAGCTAAAAAGTAAATATTGATTTACTATTTTAGATCGTGGTTACATCATTCTAGTGTTTTTAGTTCAAACTCACAATTTGTTTTTGACGTTAGTTCAAGGTAGCGTTCTTTAGTATTTACCTGTGGGAATATTTTGATATGATATACTTGATATACAAATGATAAACGTGTGTTAGATATATGATAGTTCGGGCAGAAGTCACAACTTTTTTTGATTGTTGTTATTGATTTAAAGATTTAATGATCATAGTAGAGAAAAGAAATTTGATAATATCAAGTGGTGTTTCGATATAGTAATATGTTTCTTTCCTTATCAGCTATGATTGATTACTAAGAAGTAAGAACGTACTGTATGTGACCTTTATGAAAATTTTAATTGTAATTCAGATCTTGAATGATTTTCAAAAAGTTTGACAGTTCTAAAAATACCAGGTGTATGTAAGTTATAGCGTATAGAAATAGAATTAAATTTGATCGATCTTGTCAGTGATATCAATTCACTGTTGAAAAGGGATGTTAAATATAGTTATAAAAGAAGATCAATCTAGAAAAAAAAATCTAGAGCATGTGATTTGTACACTGTATATGTTATTGTGTCAATAAATGATTTTTAATGTATAAAAATAGTTCTAAGCTTAGATAGAATTGAGTGATTTTGAGATATCTGATACCAAAGAGAAAAAGCTCTAATCATTTGCTGGATCCTATTCTATTGTTCAATAATTATCAGTGTCAAAATTTAGTATTGTTATAGTGTTACTATAGATAGATTATCTCGATTTCATTTCATCCTGGTTTTATTTCATTGGATAAATTTAATATTTGATAAAATCCTTTGTTTCCGATGTTTATGTAGATTTCTAGGTCATTAAGTAGCAAGTTTGTATGTTTGTTTACTTTTCATTACTCCTGTAAGAAGTTGCATTTAATAATTCAGGATGTCTAGATGAGGATTTGTTACAGATTTTCATCTTTTTAATAATCTTTAACATTGACATTAATACAGTGTATATAACACTTAGAATACGTTTGTAGAGTATTAAAGTGGTTTACCTAGAGACTGGATCAAACAAAAAGTAACAAAGGTTGTATTTTATGGAGTTTTTTTTTATAATTTGATAATGCTTTAACAAGGTGATACTGTGTTCACAAAACATTGCGCTTAGATTTTTAAATTGATATAGCTTTTAGAAGTTTAATTTTCACACTATTATACCCCAAATGATGATAAATGGCTTGAATTTGTAAATTGATGTTAAAGTAGACATTGTTGGAGAACCTATCAGTATTTGGTGATTTATCGATCTAATGCAGAAAGTTTCAATATGTCGAAACATGCCTACAAAAAAGTAGCAAATGAAAATTTACCTTAAGTTTTAATGAATGCTTGGAGTTATTTGACGCACGAGAGCCACAGTGACTCGGTGAGTAAGTTGTTAGCTCGCTAACCTGGGGGGTCCCGTATTCGATCCCTTTGTTGACCGTGAAAGTTTGTCAGGATTTTCTGGCGTGGGTTCCCCATTGTCAGTAGTGCAGGACCTCGGGCCTGGCAAGGAACAATGTATAGTTTTTCGGATGATACAAAAAAAAAAAGAGGTCCTGTGTACACTTTGACGTGCAGGTAAAATATCCCTTGACAGTTGAAATTCGATATAAAAGTAGGCCATAGCTCAGCTATCCAGACAAAATTTCCCTCATTAGCCCAGTTGGAGCAGTCGGACGTTAAGTATTCGACTCTCAATCTGCATACAGTATAGTTTATATGCAAGATCCTTCTGGTTTATATTTGATTGTGTGACGTAAAACATTCTTTAATATGTACAAACATGTTACGGCTAACTGGATAATAATAGACCTGTAGACTCTAGTACATGTTTTCTGATCTATTATTCAAGAGAAATGTATATAAGCAAGTACATTACATGCATGGGTTATGACTGACATTTTGATCAAAGTTTAATCTAGAAGTTTGTAACCGAGGGGTTTTAGCCCAGTTATTTATGGTTGAGTTGTTTGTTTATACATTTCTTGTTGTACTATAAATATGGAGAGATTGGTTTGCTGCTTTATTTAATGCTTTGTGGTTAGATACACAATTTCATGGTTGAGTTCTTCTGGGAAAATTTTGATTTAATTAGATCTGTCAACAGGTTTGAGTGAACAGACGGACATGTCACATGGGCTATTAGCAATAAGTAAAACATATCTACTATTGTAGTAGTACGTTCTAACAGGTAGTATTGTAGATCGTTAATCTACCAGTTGTATTGGAAAAAAGTAAAAATATCTTCTTAAGTCCTGGAAGTAATGATTTCAGATTTTGAACTTTGTGTCTGACATTGTCTGTGACAGGTGCCTTATTTCCATTATAAGATTTAGCTAATTATGATAACTAGCATAGTTGTTAAGGTGTTTAATTCCGTGCTGTGTTCCTTTTGGACAGCTAGTTTTGTTCATCGGTCATTAGCTTTAAGTATTAAGTTTATGATTTAGTAAGCAGTATTGTAGAGTGTATCTGACAGTTGTTCATCGGTTCTTATAGAAGTATTTAAGAATCTCTTTTATTCTAATATTTTATGATTTAGTATAGCATTATTATGTTTTTTAGCCCAGTTAGATAGAAAAGATGTTCGTTTGTCATTAACAATAAGTATTTTATATTAGCATATAGCATAGATGTAATTGTAATACAGTTGTATTGAACAGTTGTACATCAGTTATTATATATAAATATTAAAATTGTCATCTTCTGTAGTATTTTATTATTTTGTAGGAAATTATTAGTAGATTCTGTATGCAGTATAACATTGATGTTTAGGGAGAATTTCATCTAAGCTGTACTGTATGTGATAGTTACGCATTGGTCTTTATATAATTATTCAAAGTGTCTTCTTTTGTAGTATTTTATTATTAATTAGTAAATTCTAAGCAGTATGTCATGGATGTTTAGGGAGTATATAATCAACCATATGCTGTTTTGTATGTGACAGTTGTACAATGATCTTCTTGTGTAGTATTTTATGATTTGGTAGTCAAATTCTTAGATATGTTTAGGACTATGAGTAATATATGTAATCAACGTTTCTATACTGTGAGTTGGTCTTTATATAAGTATTCGAATTGTCTTCTTGCCTAGTATTTTATGATTTGGTAGTAAAATTCTAAGATATATTTAGGAGTATGTAATAAACGTTGCTAAACTGGATGTAACAGTTGTAAATTGGTCTTTATATAAGTATTAAAGTTGTCTTCTTGCCTATAGTATTTTATGATTTAATAGTAAAAATCTCGGATATATTTTGGTGTATGATCAACTGTATGTTGTACTGTGTTGGTCTTCTTTAATCTAGGTGTGTATGGGACTCATTGTAAATGGTGAAGTAACAGTGACAACACACGACAGTGCATAATAGATAGCGTCACCTTGTGAATGAGAAGAAACAGGGACATGGCCGCTAGCTGTGTTTACCTGAAAACAAGATCAGTGGATTAGAATAGTGGCCAGGAGTTGTAGTAAAACCCCGAGTGGAAGAAGTCAGACACGGGAGAAGTTCAAACTAAGATACATTTCTCCCCACACGCTGAAACTAAAAGACCATCAATCAAAGGTTAAACGTGTTTTGGTCAGTTGACTGATGAACCAGTGTGGATGTGTGTACTCAGTCGTCAGTGGTGTGTGACTACAGGAATTTACCTCCTAGAAAGATCTGTGTTTCATGTGCATCAGAGGAGAGGATTGATATAATTTTAACAGCTCTATACGGGAGATCTAAACAACGTCAGCATGTTTACCTACAGCAGTTTATATTCTGTCAGTGTAATATGGTGTACTACTATAGTAGCTGGTCGTATCTCTATATAAGATGTAATAATACTCACAATCTGAATTCAATTTTAGTTAGTATTAATAGTGGTTTATGGAGTGATACCACTGTTGAAACATAGTGGCTAGTCATATCTCTGTATAGGATGTAAAACTCACGATTTGAATTAAATCTGAATTAGTATTATAAAGTGGTTTATGGATTGATAACACTGTTAGTATGTAGAACTCTACTGACTTGGAATAAATTTGAATGAGATTTCGTCCTGTATGGCTTGTATGTTAAATTAGTGAAAACAATTTTAACAGAGTCACTGTGAATAAATTTAAATGATTATTCTTTGGTCAGTCCTTTATGGTATATTATAATGAGTTATTGTCAACCATAGTGATGACACGCGGAGGATGTAGAGTTACTGACGTACGTTGAATAAGTTTAAATGACTCGTTAGGTTGTAAAGACACGGTAGCTGTTGTGTTTACATATTAAAGGTGTGCTCATTGAAATAGTGTCACATCACAGTATGGGTAATAAGTCATCATCGCACAGAGACAGTGAGCCTTTACCTGAAGCCAGAGGTAGAAGCTGGTCTTTTAATGGCATGGTATCCAGAGCCAGAAGAGCTAGTCGCAGTCCCTTACGTCCGAGAGCTTCGTCTTTATCGGATACAACCAAAAACAAAAAATCTGCAACAGCGACTGTCAAGTCGAACATTCCAGCCACAATCAGTGCAGTGGATAGTCCAGGTGAGAAGAATTCTTCTAGTACACTACCAGCGACAAATGTTCGTAACTCGTTGGGCAGACAAGCTGAACTGATACGCGAGACAATAAATAGGCGGAGCTGTGAAATAAAAGGAGTGAGTCCTCGTAATAGTATGACTAGTAATAATGCCGAACACCGTTTGTCAGGTAACTTTGACAAGCGTCTATCGGGTAACTTTGATAAAAGGCTTTCGGGCAATTTTGACAGCAGTGGCTTAACTAATAATGCAAACTCGTGTTTGGTTAAAACCGAGGGTAATTTGAGTAGTAAGTTTAACAAATCAAGTGCAACTAAAGAAGAGATTGTGTCAGATCCTGGACGTACTACAGATTCAGGATATAACACAGCCTCTCGCAGACCACCTCTAGCTGAGATCGAGGATTTTGATGATGCCTCGGCAGCAGAATTAAGAAAAATTTCTCAGAGTTTATACAGTGATAAATTACTGGATTTGTGTAATCGCCGAGGAGTTGCTAGTCTAAATCGTGATCTGTCATTGTCACAAGGAGATATGTTATCCAGCATGCCCAGTCCATTGTTGAAAAAAGTTAGAAATAAATCCACGTCTCACAATAGTCTATCGTCACCCTACCACAGTGCAGACAAGTTAGATAAAAAACCATCATCACATGAAAATTTAGATTCTCTGAAGCGGAGAATGAAATCGAATTCCGGAGAAGACGATGACATGTTTAACGTGGAGTATAGTGGTAGACCCCGAACAAATTCGGCAACTGTTGTGGAACTTAGTGCTAGAAATCGTAAAAACATCTCAATGGGCTTGACAAGCGCTAAATTACGTCAAGTTTATCAGATCCCTACATCTTCTGAAGTTTCATCTCTGCCAAATTCTCAGACTAATTCTCCAGTAAAACCAGAAACGGCACATGCTCAAAAGGTTTTAGTTTCCCGAGCTTTGAAAACCGATGGTACTAGTCCAATGGAGAAAGAAACGAATAACAATTCTTTTAAACATCTCGCCAATAAGGAGACGAGTCCCAGTAAAATATACGGTCCTGGTGGAGCTGTTCCTATATCCAAATCTCCCATGTATTCTGTCCGACCCCTGTGTCATTTTAAACCCCTGCCTGAAATCCACGAACATGGAATGCTTAGTTCTAGTGTGCCTGTAGAATCTGGATATTTGCCACCGTTTAATGATTATAGTCCTGGTAAATTAACACAGCATAGTTTTGATGATAATTTTCTACAGCGCAGGAGTAATAGTATAACAGACATGGCACCGAGAATGAGGAAAAGTGTGCCAAGTCAGTGTAGTCATTGTACTCTACCAGAACTTGAAGAGAATCTTCGGCACCGTAGTCAAAGTGTCTTGTCTCTTCGTAGTGCATCGGGACAACCGATTGGTCAGTTTCATACTGGAAATTTATATAAACAAGTGTCCGGAGCAGAACGATCTTGGAATTATAGTGTGACTAGTTTAGCTGGAGATCCTTATTTTGGCTCGGCCTGTCGACAGCTTGATTTTAGAGGTAAGAAAAATTACAATTTTATATTTGTTGGTGTTATTTTGACGCCCTATATCTTGTAAACATGTTATTCCATAAAAACAAAATCTACAAAGTAACAACATTCATAAAACCTGTATTACATGTCAAAAGCATATTTAATACTTTATATGTGTTTAGACATTTATGACTCTCAGATTATAAATGACGACTTTTGCATCAGCGACAGAAATAAATCTGCGTGGGTATTAAGCTTTGAGGTCACAAGATCTTATAAATATCAAGATTATATTTGTGGATTGAGGTAGGGTAGCAAAAGTTTGAGTATATTGCAGGGGGCCACCTAGCTTGTATCCCTTTGGTATGATATATAGGGAATTCACTATAGCGTGGGTTGTATGAGTAGATCCCGATAACAGATATATAGTGATTCAAGGTATAATATATAAGGGACTTGGTATAGACCCCGAATGTAAAAACCTAAGGTATAATATTTTTCTATCCTCAATCACATGTAAACATAACGAAACAGTATATACATTAAAGTTTAATGGGCATTTATACCTTTGTTCAAAATGTCAAACATATTGCAACTTAATAAAGAAAACCTGTGCTCATTCTGCTGTAAATCAGCAAAGGGCATATTTAGAATCTTGTCAAAAGTAATAAACTGCTGGATTTCAACTTGATGATAATTTGTGAACAGTTCATTTTAATATTAGCACAGAAATATTGATGATTTTGTATTTAACACAATTTGTGTTAATATGTTCAATTACTAAATGCCAATCAAAGAAGATTTTGTATTTGTTAACACAAAAAGATTGATAATTTTGTATTTGTTAGCACAAAAATATTGATAGTTTTGTTCTAATATCAACACAGAAATACTGATAATTTTGTTCTAATATCAGCACAGAAAGATTGAAGATTTTAAATTTTAACACAGAAATATTGACATTGTTTATTTATCCGAACTATGATAGAGAAACAATAAAACCCATTGTTAAAAATAACAAACATGTCAATTGCTGGATTTCAACATGGCGATGCTTTTAATCATTTTGTTGTGATATCAACAGAGAAATATTGATGATGATTTTGTTTATTTATACATACATAGAAACAATCAAACCATCTGATGTATACAGTTTAATATAGACGGACAGGTCGATTATAGAAACAATCAAACCATCTGATGTATACAGTTTAATACAGACGGACAGGTCGATTATAGTTCTAATGTCAATCACCTGTTATAGCTTCTCACATTTCTATAGTAATTATTGATAATTAACGACCTTCACTCATACCTCAATAATTAAATACATTATTACTTCATTAATTCCAGACATATTTGTATATTAGATAGATCAGATATCGTAAATAATTATAACAGGGTCAGGGAGCTCAGTTTGTATAGGCTTAACCGCTACTTCCCGAATTTAAATTGTTATACGTACTTCGTGGCACACCACTTTCAGGGTTCCATTGAGGCGATCGATACTTTCCAATCTTTGAACCTTTATGGGGCCTATAGAGGGAGTATGGGCACAGTCCAATTTTTTTTTGTGGCGAGAGTTTTGTAGCCTTCTCTTAACTTAATTGGGGTTTAAAGGTTCAGCCGCTTTCCCCAAAGTACAAAGTTATTCATTATTTTGGGATTCAAAACTGATTTTCACCAACACAGAGAGAGAGAGAGAGTTTAACCTTAACTCACACAAACTAAGTCATTTGGCGACTAACATGATTCCATTTTATTTCAATAATTCGCTTGCATGTAAGCATGACATAGAGATCTTTATTAGCAGTCGGTAGAACCAGAGAAAACCCACAAGGTTAGACAGGTGACCCTACTCCTTGTCAAGTACAGTTGGGGAATCAAAACCACTCGCTTGACTCAATGACGGACCTTAGGGTTTCATGCGCACGAGTTTAACCGCTTGACCACCCCCCCACCAACAACACACAGAGAATATTCATTACAAGTGAATTACACACATTGATAAACTTTCTACTGTTGAAATATTTGTTCTAAAGGGTTAAGAGAATTACTGGCAATCGTACATAAGATTGACAGGTTTAGGTACCACACCTGTCTGTAGATGTAGATTGTAGTTCTGTCAAGTTATTTTCTAGTAGATGTTTATAGTGATGAAGATGGAGATGAAAGATGCTATCTATTAAACACATTTCACCTTTACTAATTATAATGTCAGCTTTTATATGATGGCTTAATAAACACTCCATACAACAAAACAATAAACACTCCCTACAACAAAACATTGCTGAGTTTAGAAACTGGGGTTTATAGTGTTACATTTCTGCACTTAAAGTTTGCTATTTGAGAAATTTTTACTGGACAGCGATGTTCCAGCCCACTCTTCTTCATATCTCCAAAACATTATTCATGTTCCCACTTGTCAGTGATGCAGGACAAGGACCGCTGTCTATTCATTTGGATGGGACAAAAAACTGAGGTCTCATGTACACATTGGCGTGCACGTAAAAGTTCCCTTAACAGTTGGAATTCGATATAATAGTAGGCCGTAGTGCTCTGCCTGGGCAAAATTTCCCTCATAGCACACTGTATGGCATATGCCTGTCTTCATTAGCCCAGTTCAGAGTAGGACATTAAACTCCATTTCATTTCATTTAAGAATATCTAGATTCTATATTATGAGAATTCTCTAGATTTTTGAATGAGTCGTGATGCTTTAAGAGTATCTAGATTCTGTAGCATGAGAATTCTCTAGATTTTTCTGTGATTCTGTGGTTTAGTAAGTCTGGTGATTATTGAGTAATAGGTTACTGTTACAAACTTCCTATTTCCTGTAACTTTCTGTTCCGCGTCGTCAAAGATCTTGACATTTATACAAATCTTACAACCTTTACAGATCTACCATGATTCCTGTTTTGTTTTCCCCTTACAGGGAGTAATCATTGTAAATGTTACATTGGTCATTTCCTTCTTAATCCTGTTATGAAATCTTTAATCCTGTTTCTGTGTGGCCAAAAATATCTAAAAACCAGGACATGTCTGTACTTAATTAACAGTTTAAATTAGATCATACAGGAAAACTGCATAACAGAACACAAAAATAATAAGGTTCTATTACATAACATTACAGTACAAATATGCAGTGTGGGGTGCATAGGGTTAATAATTAAGTCAAGTATTGAATTTTTTAAAACTGTGTCACATTTTTTCAATATTTTTGCTTTTAAAGTCCCAACAAATTGAATCATTCTAGTATTTTGGGGGTTAAAAACTCTCTCCCTCTCCCTAACGACCCCTATTCATAACTTTTCTGTCCCTGGATTATAGATCACCTCTGTTGACAAAAAAAAATCTTATGAATACTGTGACATACATTTCTACAATCACAACACTGAGAAAATATTTATGACATTAAATAACTTTGTGACTTTTATGTTTTATTAATAATAAAAATTATTGAAATGAAAGAATATTATTTATTATGGCTATTAGCAGGATAAAGGTAGTACCACACCCACGTATGTCACTGTCTTTATCTCTACCCCACTAAATACCAGACCTTCCATCTGTATATCGTATTAAAAACACTTAACTACCATAAAACTCTAATAAAATACCTTTATTGTCTACTAAAGTAGGTAAAAATAAACATCAGCTATTTAAAACTGATCTAGATCTGGGTTGATCTATTGAATAATTCAGATTTTTATGTTAACATATGCTGACTGTGTGGTTAAGCTAATATCTGACCTTTTCAATTAAAGAAACACACAGTATTATAAAGACATTAAAGTCTTTGATTTTATAAATAGTTTTCATATTAAAGTCGGGGGTTGGATGGCTGAATGGTTAGCGTGTGCACGTTGTATCATAAAGTCTGTCATTGAGTCAGCTGGCGTGGTTTTGAATCCCCGGTTGTACGTGACAAGGAGTAGGGTCGCCTGTCCAACCTCGTGGGTTTTTTCCGGGTCCTCCGGTTTCCTCCCACTGCTAAAGACCCCTTCGCGCAGGTGAATTATTGAAATAAAATTAAACCATATGTTAGTCCCGAATGACTTAGTTTGTGTCGAGTGGATGTTAAACTCCATTTCTCTCTCTCTATCTCATATTAAAGTACAGGGGGGTTGGGTGGCCGAATGGTTAATGTGTGCATTTGGATCAGAAGGTCTGTCATTGAGTCAAGTGGCGTGGCTTTCAATTCCCTGCTTGTTTTCTCCAGGCCTTCCATTTTTCTTTCACTGCTAAAGACCCCAACACCCAAGCGAATTATTGAAATAAAATTGAACCCCCATTTCCCTCTCTCTCTCATATTGAGTACAACAAAATTTGATAGAGAAAGATCTTCTTGTTGAGACACAATTAATATGAAGTGATATTAGAAGTTCTGGAAAGAGTAATCACAGCACACCGAAAATTCCAAATTAAAATATTGAACCAATCGGAAATGACCGCCAGATTTGCTTAAAGGGGGATTCATACCCATTTAAGGAATTTCATTCTTCGACAAAATAATTGCGAAAATCACCACTATAAGTTAAGGAAAAATACATAGAATAGAATTTGGGGACTTACAGGCAACCCTTACATGATTGGAATAATGTTTTCTAAGAGTCTTTCATCCCAAAAATTTGTGAGTGCCAAACAATAATGAAAAGTCACCTTTTCACTTACAGGTGCTCTCAACCCACTTGAGAAATTAATGTCTTCAGATATTTTGTTAAGTATAAGTGATACTCAACTTTGACATATAAAATTTGTAGACTTTAAAGTGCTTTAACAATTTTAAATTCTTTATACTAACAGCAGAATTTAAATTTTTGACACAAAGAGCTGCTGTTTTAAATTTAATCCACCATGTTGTGATACTAAAGAAAACTAAGTATAAATTTTTGTTTGTTTAGTCTGAGGGTTGTTTAGATTAATCTATGGTTCATAAGATTTAGAGAATGTTACAGAAATAGATCTTGGTATTATTATTATTCAATCTACCAAAATATCTCAAAGGGCACCTTCAGTGTCTGTG